TTAACCTTAATCATCAATTGTAAGTCATAATTCTAATTCCTCACACAGGTTCATAATCCTCATTTGGTCCTAGTTATTAGGTGACCACTCTCAAGTTCAGTCTAGTGTCGCTTAATGGTCGTCCATAAATTATAGTCTCACCGAAAAGTGATTAAAATCGTGAATTATCAGACAGCTTCTCCGTCATTGTTAGAAATTCTCCTATAATTGTCACTCACATCTTAACGCACATAATCGTATTTAAAACCATGAACCATTAGTTTTGAATACAATCAATACAAATTTCAGATTATATAAAAACGAACATTACAACCGCCTAACCGAATAATGTAGTTATTTATTCACTGCTAAAATAATGACGATCGTTCGCCTATTCAATATCTAAATCGAGTGATATTAGAAATAAATTAAATTTCCAATTTCTGTGCAATGAAAAATGTGCTGTTCACCGTTTTGTGGCCCAATACCTGACTCCAGTTTGATCGTACGATGATGCTATGATCATAAATCTTCCATTTAACTCTGTATTAGCTAGGTTAACCTCGTTTGTGGGACAGTGGTAATAAAAAGCTAAACACAGGTTGCGGTGATTGAATTTATTTCAGGTGCTCAGTTATTCGGACAGACATTCAGGATAAAAAACGGGAAAGCGGAGCTGAGATGACAAGTGAGCCAACTCCTTTTGACCGAGCGTGACTCATTGTACATAGGACACGGACACTTAGTGAATAGGGTAAGTAACTAATACACATACATTCATATAAAAACAAGTTTAACGAGCAAATGATTATCAAGGTCAAAATGTGATTCGAAAAGAACGAATAAATCAGTCTCTCTGGGAGCTAGAATAACCCATGTGGGCTTGACACAGTGCTAGATACTACCATATCACTTAGGAAACTTATGAATATCTTCATTGTATTTATTAATTAAATTAAATACTGTCATGCCTTGCTTAAAATTTGACAATCTTAGAAGTTTCAGTGGTGAGACTACAAATTATGGACGACCATTAAGCGACATTAGACTGAACTTGAGAGTGGTCACCTAATAACTAGGACCAAATGAGGATTATGAACCTGTGTGAGGAATTAGAATTATGACTTACAATTGATGATTAAGGTTAATAATTATATTTAGGGTTTTCATCACGAACTGACATCAGTTATGATGCCAACACTCTATTTATCCAAATGAATGAGTGAATTTCGCGCTAAAATTCGAGACTTGATATCTTATATGTGATTGGTTCGTCCATAAATTATAGTCTCACCGTTTCAATTAATTATAGCTTATTGCTAAAAGTACATGATCACAGATTTAATGCCCCAAAGTTAATCATTTTCATCAATTATCAATCATTATGCGAATTTGAAGTTTATTGAGAATATTGAGTTTGATTGTAATTTTCTTTGTAGACTAATATTTAAAACCATAAACCATTGAAAAGTTGTTTCATATAAGTGTGAAATCACTACCAAATAGTAGTACCCATCCATGACCCCGTTAGGTTTCGGAATTAGAATATCCAAGATGATGATGTTTGAATCTGATATTATTTATTTTTAAATCCTAACCAACCATCATTTAATGCATATATAGTAATCGTTGTTTTGTAGTGTCGGTTATTATGTTAAGCCTATATACCTTATTCTAGCTTTCGAACGGCCCATTCTATTCATTCTACTCGAGTCACATTCTGACCTTGTTATTTATCGATCCCGTGCCACCCAACTTCCCAGTCAGAGACGTTACCACTGAGCTATCTGCGGCCTGAGCACCAGTTCCATCAGGATTAGAGGTACACCTGGCTGACGAGCGTCAAGTAGCACGAAACCCGGGTCCAGGGTTTCCTGTCGACTACCTCCAACCACCATCTAATCTCAATATATAGTGCCCGCAGTGTGGAGTCACCTAGACTGGTGGCCACATTGCAACATGATCGATAGCATTCGATCTGCATTAAATAAGGACTTGACACACATGACATTGATCACCACCCAGTGATCAATCAGTTGTGATCACTTTTGACTGTTTTTATATGAGCGCGTAAGTGTGTGTACATTTCTTATCCCATTACTCATCGTATGTCTGTAACTTTTGTGTAACTATAAATATTGATTAACGCTTGGTAAAAAGGGAGTTGGCTTACCAGCCATCTCCACTCTGCGTCCTTTCTCTTCTTTCTATTCCATTCAGTTTATATACAAAATATATGTATTTAAAAGTCCATTCTCGTTATTCGACTTATTTAATTCCGTTATTGACTAACGCGATTTAAGTCGATGATTATATACGAGGATAGGCGATAACAAAACATTCATTACAATCATGTTGGAGTCAGATCCACGGGCTACTAAAGTGGAGAGCCCATTCGACAACATCGTTCAATCTAAACAACGACAAATAAAAGAGTCCTCACTAAAGTTTCATTCTTGACATTCTAATTTCAAACAATAGAATATCTTTGATTCGATTTCGAATGAGATCAAAATTTCTCACTAATAGATAATCCTTTCATACTTCTCAAGTTTTCAATTACTTCCTAATCAATATCAGTTCATAAAAGTAAATTACACTTCAATGAATACTTACTATTTATCAATGTAAACATTATACTCTAATCAATTTTGATATCTTTCTTAGTTATAGTCTTGATCATTTTTTTCTTTACTTTATAAGTTAAAATAGACTTGTTACTAAGTAAAATAATGAACAGTGTCATTTAAATGTATCTCATAGTTTCTCTCATGTCCTTATAAGTTCATTCTTTTCTTATGTAATAATATATATATGTAAGAATTTACACATAATTTATTTACTATATATGTACTAATATAAACTTACTATAAGTTTGTACTTATATCATTGATGTCTGAAATATATGTATGTGTATATGTATATAATAGTGAAATGGGCCTAACATAAATTTAGGCGGTTAAATGTTTGATATCAGGAATAATCTGTTTTAAACTCTATCCGTTTTTAAGGACATTTAAACATAGAACATTATAATATGAAATATAGTCCCGACTGTTGTTTCTAACTTGACGTGATGGTCGGGCTTGAATATCGTGTTGAACCAATCGGATTATACTGGCTGGAACAATCGCTCCTCAAGGTGCTACCATGTCAGACAGGTCGATTGACGAGCGGTAAGACTAAAAGCAACAAATCTAAGGTCCGAAGGCGAAGTCGTACTGCTGACTTTACAGAGGTGTGACGGCAGTAAGGTGTTTCCTTCAGACAACCAGCAAAATAGCGATGCTGCCTTCCAATGAGGAGGGGTGGGGTTAGAAGAGGTCGACCCTAAAAATGCACACCTCGTAATATCCCACAGATAACCGTCTCTAGCGGTGAGGTCTCAACAAGTACGGAGCTAACACTAAAATCACTTTTGATTGAGATCATGAACCGAATGATGTTAGACCACCATTGAAAACCTGGGAGCACTGGACGGCCGTTTCGTCCTATTGCGGGACTCCTCAGCAGTGAGCATCCACGATCCCGCTCTCGGGATTCGAATCCATGGCCTTCAGTCTTGCGCGCGAACGTTTAACCTAAAGTTACTCACAATATTGTCGTGCGTAGCATGTAGTCAAATGATGTACATCGGTTTCATTTTGAAGATATGGATTCTTTGAAATATGTTTAATAGAATGTGTATGTGTGCTGTAATATAACTAATTTAGCATGTACATATAACTTAGTAAAGGCAAATTATGAAGAGTATAAAATCCTCAAATACCCTGGTACGGTCGAGAGTGGGGAGAGTCAGCATTCCTTCGAAAAATGCTCTCACATGGCCACGTGCATACAACCGCTGCTAGGAAAGTTCTGTTCAGAGCCTTCTCGCGGTGATGGTGTTGTTCTTTATGGAATTGAGAGGACTAAAAGGGAATGTCCGACACTTTAACCAGGTTGGTGGATACGGAGAGTCCACCTAGGGAAGTTGGAAAACCCTGATTCCAAACCAGTGGTATACATGCGCTCCAGTATCCTGAAGAAAAAAATGGCCTAAAAGGTCGAATGCTCCGGGTGTAGTCCCCTAAGAAAACCACCTGCTTCGATTTGGGCACCCGGCCAGTATCACAGCCCTCACACAAACCGAGTGATTTATGTAGCGCGTATCTATTTGGTGCTCCCTTGTATCAATGTTTATGTGTTTAAGTAAATAAATAATAAAAATCGTTTAAAATCAAAATAGTTTCATAGAGAGAAATATATTACTCTATGGAAGTGTCAACGTTTTTATCTTGAAAATGCATATAGTTAACAAGGTCTGTCATTATCCACAGTCAAATGATATTCAGTTTCATAATGAATTTCAAACTGTTGAGATTTACATCATGACTATTTCAAGAGTAATTTATTATTTTGATAGCTTTATTGACTGTTCTATCTACCTTTTACTTGTTACACTTTAATTAAGTTTACAACATAAATCCTGACAGTGGGTGTTATCATGTATATCAACCTCTAGAAAACTAAACGTCATTAAATCAGAAACTGACAACATTTGAGGGGCTTATTAAATTGTGAGCTTGACCACTTAGACAAGTAGGAATTCTACCTGAAGCTAGACACGTATGATGTTTTATAATATTACGTTTGTAATATCGTCTTTATACTTTGAAAATCGTACCGCTGTCATTAAAAATCAGTAGTCCAATAAGTAGTGTACAAGTTTCTTATGCAGAGATTTTCTTAATTACCGTTTTGATGATTTGTATTGTCACCTTAGATACATAAACTAATCACTTTGACTTTATATTTGAACTTTAAATTTTCTACATCTGTTTAGAATTGCACTTCTATGAATCATAAAATGTTGTTTTTAAGCTCATTCTTACCTTTTTAATACTGGTAAACGTTTTTATAACTAAGAATTTCGAATCCACTAGTGTATATACACGAGAAGAACATTGATTTAAAGAACTTATTAAATCATAGTTACACTCATGGACTATTGAATAATAACCCATCTCATATCTTATTAGTTTAACAGAAAATCATCTGAAAATCGAAATAGATCAGTGATACCACATAACCATTCAACATACTAGTCTCAATTCTTTTCTACCGGTATCGATGCACATAATATAAACCATGTTATCAAGTTCAGAGATTTCTGATTATTGTTACTAACGTATACTGATTAAACAATGCCGATTAATTATGGAAATCTGACCTATTGTTTAAACATTAATATGCTTACCAAAAATAGTTTCAGGAGAAGCTATGTCAATTCAATCGATATGAAACCACTTGGTTATAAATCAACCATTTTGTTGTAAGTTTATCTAAAAAAACACATTCAATATCATTAAGTAAACATAGTATTATGATCTACACCGCTATAATGAAATCAAGGGATGAAACGAGACTGGATTTTTATTTATGTAAATAAAAGTTATCTTAATGATAATTGCAGTTAATTGTACACATTATAATGTGATATTTTTATAAAAAATATCTGTAACAGTAAACAGTGGCGTGGTCTTTTAAAGTAAGATAGATTTAGACTAAATTTGTGATGGACTCTCATAATTTCAAGGGTGTGTATACTAAGGTTTATTGAAGCTTTGGATATACAGAAACTGGAACCATCTTTATGTATTCAAAAACAATTTGTTCTTACCGTTAACCTACCCTGGTAATACTGATTTATTATCCAGAGTGATTATCACATTGTTTCTGTGTACTTTATTTTTAATCGTTGAATTCATCGGTCAATTAAGGCTAAACCACCATGGAAAATTGGAAGCACTAGACGGCCATTTCGTTCTTGTATGGAACTCCACAGTAGTGCGCATCCACGATCCCGTTCCCCGCGAGATTCGAACCCAAGATCTATCGGTCTCGCGCGCGAACGCTTAACCTCTAGACCATTGAGTTGGCATCCAACGGTGTTATTGTCTAACTGTAACTAATCCACAAAATTGAGCTACACATTCATCATTGTCTTCAGTGAGTTACTATCTCTCAGTTGAGTTCAACTAGGCCGTCCAGTGCTTTCATATTTTCCATGGTGACAAATGACTTATAATCTCAACTGTTGAAATTACTATAATATCTAAAAAAACCTTCTGATACTTTATTTTTCTTTGTTACAGTTTATCTTTAATCTGTCTACTTGACGTTTTAGTTTTCATATAAAATTTTCTTACCAAGTATAGATGTGTGATCAGATTGTTCGAAATGTTTTGCGCAAATCTATCATATAATTTTGATATCCTTCGTCTTCTCATTGCATTATCGAAATGTATCAATGGGACTAGATAACAAACATACTGAATTTGTATTCATATTACTGAAGTTGAAAACTGGTATTAAACTACTCTACAATTATCCCTGGTGTAAATTCTTTTTTCAGCTGGTGTATAAACTAATCATAGAGCTAACCTGATACGTAGTAATTGTAAAATCACACCATCCAACTGAAGATATTGATATTTACCTATTTTTAGTTTAAAAGATTTGACTATTCTTCTCAACCTACACTTGAGTTGGCTTTATAGATATTTGTACGTTGCCTTTAACAATATCATGATACTATTTACGTTTAAACGGTAGCCCAATAGAGAGCATACATTTTCAGCTCGTTATTTGAACGAGTAGAATTGTAAATTCAAATCGACCACTGATCATTTCAAAAACCATCGTGTATCCTACAAGATTACTATTGGCTACCTTTTATTCATATGTTAAATCATGCGTTTTTTGTTGCCGTCGTAGTTTACATTCAACTGTTAGTTACTCACTGATTTATGTACTGAACTTTGAATAAAAGCGTTTTTGTAAGGACTGGTTAAATATTTGCAATTACTCGAAACCGATCAACTATGGTTGAAAACTGAATCACTAAACCATTAAATCACTAATCATTGATACTGATAGAGAGGACACCAATTTATAGTTGGATAAAGGTTATAAGGTAACATAAAATGAAACTTGTAATTTTGATAATAGCTGGAATGATCAAAGAACACGAAATTCAGTCGTCAGCATAACAGACCGACCGAAAAATGTTCAATCTTTACAGTTTTTTTGGAACTTAAAATAGGTGATAGTATGGTGTGTGCTACTTAGATCCGTCGACATAAGTAGCATGTAACACTAATCAAAAGTGAAATGCCTGGCATCAGAAGGTTGAATAGATTGAATCGAGAAGAACGAGAACGGAGAGTGATTGTTATATCAATGAAGGAACAACAAAGTACGAGAAAATTGATGTTCATTTTGCAAATGAACTATCGAACGTTTAGTATTTATATTTTACCCAATAACTCTTGACTTTTGAGTTTCTGAATACGTTTCTTGTCCTCGTTTGTGTTCTCGTTCAACACGATAGGATTATTTCATGTAATATACAACTAGACTTTGAGTCCCAGAGTGAACATCAACTCTGAGATGCAAGTACATCCAGCTGACGAGTCCCAAACAGGATGAAACGCGCGTCCGGGATTCCACTGCTAGCCACTATCCATCTTTGCTTATAAACTTTGAATATTTATTTTATTTATTTACTTGTTTGAACACATAAACATTGGTACAAGGAGGCACCAAATAGATATGCGCCACACAATAACAATGACGCCAGTAGCTGTAATCATTGATTTGTGTGAGGGCTGTGGTACTGCGCGGGTGTCCAAATCGAAGCAGATGGTTTTCTCAGGGAACCACACCTGGAGCCTTCGACCTAAAGATCTGATCAAGAAAGCAGTGGGGCAACGTCAAGAGATGTGATTCCAAAGTAGCCGATGACAAGTAATTGGTTCATACGCCATTTGTCCCTTCAGGATCCTATGCACCAATGGTTCGAAATCAGGGTTTTCCAACTCCCCTAAGTGAAAACTCAGTATCCACCAACCCGGTTAAAGTGTCGGACATTCACATTTCATCCTCTCGATTTCGTAAACAACACTAATGCCGCGAGAAGGTAGTGATTAGGACTTCCATGAGTATTTATTATAATTAGAAGGGGTTTTGTGGAGATTTTAGTAAGTTCAATAGTTAAAATCATGAGTCATTTGAAGCTAGACCACCATGGAAAACCTGGAAGCACTGGACGGCCGTTCTGTCGTAGTATGGGACTTCTCAACAGTCGGCATCCACGATCCCGACCCCGCGATATTGGAACCCAGGACTTATCGGTCTCTCGTGTGAGCGCTTAATCATTAGACCACTAAGCCGGCTGGCATCCAACGGTGTTAATGTCTAAATTCAACCAATCCACGAAGTTGCGCTAACGTACACCATTGTCTTCAGTGAGCGTATTTGATGATTCTCATTTTACGTGCACATCGGTTATTCAGAAACAACTTTTTCAACCTTCAACTTGCACTTTTATTTTTCCTTCATAGAAAAATAAATTTAACATTTGATATCAACTATTAATAATTCAAACTTACACAGACATTCACACACACACACACTTTATTTGTTTGTTTTCACACTGTGAACTTTTCACATGATTCACACATAACGAACTGACTTATGTTGTCCTACTTTCTAAAGTCAACATCCAAATATGATTGAATTAGCACAGTATAGATTTGATCAGACTGTTAAACATGATATACCTCTTTACTGATTTTGATTTCGATTATTACCCTGAAGAAGTTTACTTACATGATACCTTTCAGGGATTAACATGTTCCCATTCCAGCCTTGATAAGTTTTATTTCTAAGTAGCTTTTAAACAAAAAAAGTGGAATACTTGTTTGATATTTCTTGCCATATAATATTGGAATGTATCTGTCAGCTGTCTTCCATGCACGTCTTTACACTATAGTTTATCGTACGAATTCCATATAATGTTGATGATTTTCTCAGGTACTTCATAGGTATTCCATAATATTCTCCTGTCCACACTGTCAAATGCATTTTGATAGTCAAGGAAGTTGATGTATAGTGACGTGTTCCATTCAACTGATTATTCAACGATGATCCGTAGTGTTGCGATTATGTCTGTGCACGACCGAATGCAGCCGAATATTGACGATTAATTCCATATTTATTTACAGTATAGTTCTAGACTGTATACGAAAATATCATGATATTCTTGAAAGTTAAATAAAACATTAACTTTTATGATTGACTTCATTTTTTCCACTTCCTTGATATACCATGAAATTTGCAATTGATTGATCACTGAGTGGTGATCAGTGTCATATACGTCAGGTCGTTCTTAGTGCATATCAAATCTTATCAACCAATCAATTGTAAATATATCTCAGTCCTACAAGAAGTCAGTCATGGACTGGATAACCCATTGGTAACGTCTCTAACTGTGAAACTGGGTGAAATGGAATCGAATCCGTCAGGGAGCATCAGTTCCCTCAAGATTACAGGTACATTTCGCTGATCAATGCCAAGTAGCAATAAACCTAGATCTAGTGTTTCTTATCGTCTACTTACAACTACCATTTTACATCATGAAATACTAGATGTCTAAACATTTTAACTAAATTTTCATTTATTCATTGGTCAAAAATTTTACTTCATATCATTTTAATAGTTGAGTTCATGAATCAATTGAAGCTAGACCACCATGGTAAACCTGGAAGCACTGAATGGCCATTTCTTCGTAACATGGGACTCCTCAACAGTGCACATCTACGATCCCTCCCCGAACGATTCAAACTAATGACCTATCGTTGTCATACGCGAACGCCTAACCTCTAGACCACTGAGGAGTCTCATAATAGGATGAAACGACTGTCTATTGCTTCCAGGTCTTTCATAATGATCTAGCTTTCATGGACTCATAAACTATAATATCTACAAAACCATTTTCTGTTTATATTAAACTTGTTTTTTCTTTTTTTTTAGAAATGGGAACCAACATTTCCAAATCCTATCCAATGTGCTAATTTTAATCAACGTCTTCTAGAACAAAAAGTATGTCTATCACAATTTTATTCACAAAATTTATATTCATTTAATGTACAAGTTAAAACAATAAATGATACACAATCAAATTATTTAGATATAACAAAAGAAGTAAAATTACGTTATACATTAGATAATTGGAGAACTTACACAGAATCTCCATCATTAATACGTATTGATCAATCAAGTCACTTAGTAACTAACACTAATACATATCAATGGATAGAAACTAATGAATCTGAAATTATTTTATCAACAATTCCATTAGAAACT